AGTTTTAGGAGTTTATAGTTCAAGAAGGATAAAAATTAGGAAATAAGTTTTGTATTAACGTAGTAATGATGACCAAAAGGCAGAGTCGTCACAGGTATTCTCTTCAATCTCCCTCAAAATTGGGTCGTCGCTTGTTAAGAGTGAGGCCTCGGTGGCTAGAGAAGGATCCAGCCTCACAAGAGGCGCAGGCCTCGACCCCCCTTGACGGCTAGTTCTTTTTGGTGCCATGACTGTAAGGACAAATTTAAAGTCAGTATCTTATATGTCGAGAGGAGAGAAAGAAAAAAGGTTTGGTGCCTAAATGGTCTAAAATAACTAAAGTTAGACTAAAAACCTAAGACAAGTTAAGACGCCGATGTCACCTTAACCTGGCGAATGCAACATATGAAGATAAACGACGATGACTCATACAAAGCATCAACCAAACCCAGAAAACCAAATAGAAAGTCAGACTTCAAAGTTCAACAGACTCAGCCAAAACTCCTAAAACTAGTTCAGAACAATGCGAAGAACACCAAAAGGAAGCCTTCTCATCCCTATTTCGCTATTTCTAACCATTTCTTTTCCAGAAATCATCACAAGCAAGAGCGAAAATAAAGTAAAAAGTGGAATGGTGAGATAAACCCTAACACATAGCTAGCACGAAACAAGAAAAAGAAATGGAGGGGAGAAGATTTGGAGACTCGAAGCGAAAATCACCAGAGAACCACAATTCAGCAAGCAAAGGACTTAGATAAAGGTCTAAAGAAATTAGGGCAGAGTCTCGACAGTCACTCAGAGATAATGGAATGATCGGGATTTGCTTGAGAAGTTATTTATAAAGGGGAAAAAACCCTCGACCCCTAACCGTCAGATGAGATAATTGTTCATCCAACGATGAAGACGACGGGACATGATCCAACAATGAGGAAAGGACTGGGAAACTGAAAAAGAGTTATCCAACTGCCCAGATCTATTCATTCAAAATAAAGTTTTGTGTCAATAGAGTTATTAGATTGATGCAATAGCTATGCTACCCAAGGAACCCCTTTGGCGTTAGATCCATCATTACAAATGAGGTTCAGAGTTAGGTTCCTTCACCCGATGCAAATGGGAATACAAGGGAAAGTCCCATCATAATTAAAGCTCGAGGCAATCCGAATGAAAGCCTCAACCTGGGGGACAGCTATTATATGGCAAAATCTACCTTGCCATGTCATACAATAAATAGGCTCTGCGTGGCCATTGTGTAAGAGAGCTTAAGGGACGATGGTATCCCCACCTCCCATAGGCGTCGACAGTCAAAGCATCAGCTTTTTGGATTTTGAAGTTTAGCTGTTTGAAAGTGTACAGGATGGTAGTCAGCCATTCAAATAGCTAAGACGAAGATAGTTCCAACAACTCGTAGGCTATCGATCCCATGCAAGGATCGATGAGGAAAAAGGTTGTGTCTAGACTTACTATCCAGGCCAAGTGAAAGCAGAGAGGGCAACATGATCAATTATCTGACCTAGATCCCGAGAATATCCCCTGAGGCGACAAGAGAGAAATCTCTAGGTTACTTGCGAATATGAACAAAGTCATTTGCTAAAGAAATTATTACCAGCCTATTAGCCGCCCAAAATAGACCAATAGGAAATCACGGGGAAGTCACAGGGTTACAATTCTGGGTAGAGTAGGTAGATGAATAATCAGATAGGCACTGTAAAGCTGGAGTCTAGAGAGTAGGATAGTAGGCTACTCGAGAACAACCGTAGGGTAACCACTAGCCTCAGTTTTCTCCAACATGTAATTCATGTGATATAAGAGGTGCATGGCAAGAGAGAGAGAGAGAGTCTGGTATGAACATAAGAGAGAACCAAGCTGTTTGTAGTCAAAAAGAGAAAATGAAGGAGAAAAGAAAGGGGATTTTCTCAAAGTGGACGTAGCCCTTGCATTAAGAGTGAATCACTATAAATCTTGGTGTTCTTATCTTTTCTTTTAGTTCCTTTCATATTCTGAGAAACCTTAAAGTGAAATCCATAAAGCACATGCACAAACAGTTGCACTTTATTAACCGGATTTAATCGGACATAGAGCTGTTATTTTGACGCGATTCAACTGGTAATCCAACCGATTACTAGACGGTAATCAAGTGTATTTCTGTTGATGAAATTCCACCGTCAACAAACCTAATCCTTCTTTATTTCGTGAAAACAAACATAAAATGTGTCTTGACCAAAAGAGCATCCAATACAAATTCCCGCTAAACACACACTTTGTCAAATAAGACAACACTCATATGAGCAGTATGCTCATCAAAGGCCTTTGGCGGTACACCCTTGGTTAGCAGATCCACAATCATGGAAATTGTCCCAATATGTTCTATAGACACTTGAAAACTCTGAACCTTTTATTTAACAACAAGTAACTTGATGTCTATGTGCTTCGACTTCAAAGAGCTTTGTTGTTATTGGAATATAGCAAGTCTAAATCATTGTCACAAATATCTTTAGTGGTCTTTCAATACCATCTACCAAAAGCAGCCCAGTGACAAAGATTCGCAACCATATTCCATGATTGGATGCCTCCTGACAAGTTATGAACTTTGCTGTCACAATGGAAGAAGTTATGAGTGTCTGCTTAACACTCTTCTAGAAAATAGCTCTCAGGCCAACTGGTAAATATAGCCCCACATGGATCTTCTACTGTATTGGCATCTAGCAAAATTAGAAACAGAATACCTTATGATCTCCCAAAGATCTGATCTCTGATAAGTGAGCATGTAATCCTATATTCTTTGTTAATACTGTATAGCCCATTTGGCTGCTTTGCAATGATCCATTTCCTGATTTCCTTAAATAAATGCTATCTGCAGACGCGTACATACATGAGCACACGCAAGACTTCTAACTTCTGACACATAAGGAATCTTTTGTATTTCTTTAACTTCAAAGTCATTCTTGGTGCACTGAATGTGACTAAACTTGTCTCCCTTAGCAAAAGGCATATTTCTTAGTCTATTTTCCTTCATGCCGAGTATAAATAAAATTCTTTCAATATAGCTCTTTTGTGATAAGCCAAGGATACCTCGAGAGCGAGCACAATGTATCTATTTTCCTAATACAAAAGAGACGTTCCCAAGATCTTTAATCTCAAAGTCCTTAGTTATAAAAATCTTAGTTTCGTGCAACAAGACTATATCGCTGCTAGCAAGCAGTATTCATCGACATATAACACTATAAATATGTATTTACTCCTCTCTAGGGATAATAGATATCGTAGGGCTGAAGGAAGAGATAGAGTTTGGATTCAGGGAAGAAAGACAAAGAAAAGAAAGGAGCGTTACGAGAGACATCTATTTTTAGACTTTGAAATAGACAATACAACTAGTAGTATGGACATAGATAGGAAGAATGAGTTCGTAATTACATCTATCTACATGTTCTTTCTGATCTCTACGCATTTCACCGCTCCACCAGAAATTCCCTCTGCCCCTACCGTACTCCAGCTTGGTAGTTTCCACCGCCTATCCAGGGTTGAGCCCTGGGATTTGACGGCGGACTTAAAAAGCCACCTACAGATGCTTTACGCCCAATCATTCCGGATAACGCTTACATCCTCTGTTTTACCGCGGCTGCTGGCACAGAGTTAGCCGATGCTTATTCCCCAGATACCGTCATTGCTTCTTCTCCGGGAAAAGAAGTTCACGACCCGTAGGCCTTCTACCTCCATGCGGCATTGCTCCGTCAGGCTTTCGCCCATTGCGGAAAATTCCCCACTACTACCTCCCGTAGGAGTCTGGGCCGTGTCTCAGTCCCAGTGTGGCTGATCATCCTCTCGGACCAGCTACTGATCATCACCTTGGTAAGCTATTGCCTCACCAACTAGCTAATCAGTTTATCAACTTTATTTACCTCAAAATGATACGAGATAATAACCTAATGAAAATTACGATATGATTAATGGAAAGCCTTAGATGGATTTCTTTAATTAGTTTGTAAACTATAAATCTTGAATTACCGGATACAAAATTTTCTGGTTGTACCATATAAATTGTCTCATCAATGTCACCATTGAGAAACACATTCTTTACACCCATCTAATGTAGCTCCAAATCGAAATGAGCCATAAGTGCCATAATAATCTTAAAAGAGTCTTTCGTTAAAACCGAAGAGAAAGTCTCTTTATAATCATTGCCTTCTTTCTGAGTGAATCCCTCGGCGACTAGATGAACCTTATATCTCTCGACATTTCCTTTTTAACCTTCTTCATCTTAAATATCCATTTGCAACCAATGGATTTCATATCTTCAGGCAATTCTTCGAGATCATGAATGTCATTATCCTTCATGGATTTCATCTTTTTTTTTTATGGCATCAATCCACTTTTGAGCGTTAGAACTCTGTAGAGCTTGTTGGAAGTTGATTGGATCATCTTCCCCTAAGCCTATACCATCTTCATGTTCTTGGAGAAAGACGATATAATCATTCAAAATCGCACTTCTCCTTTCTCTAGTGGATCTCCTTAATGGCACTTTCTATTGAGGTTGTTGAGTTTGCTTATTTTCCTAAGCATTGTCTTTTATCAGGATTTTCATTTTAAACAATGTCAGGCTTTGAGGCCTGATCATTATCAGTAGCAACTAAAGGAAGGAAACAAATTCCTCTTCAAAGATATATTAATAATAGGAAATATAATTTCCTAACAAAATATACAAGCAAAACAATTGGACTAATACTAAATAAATAAAAAGAAGAATCATCATGAGGCATACCTATTCTGAGACAACAAACTAATTCAGTACTTAGTAGTAGTAGTACTAAAATTGACATAGGGAAGACCCAACAACTTCTGAGCTGACCACCTTCTGGTCAGATCTCTTTGCAAGCGGTGTCTCAAGAAATCATTTCCAAACTCCTCCGACATGTCTTTCGGTATCTCAAGCATCAACTCTGGTGAAGCCAATAGCCTAATCATCATCACGTAGTCTAAAGTCTCCCCACCCATGCTCTCCCATGCGTATTGGCCAGTAATCATCATCAACACAACACATCCCAAAGACTATATATATCCATCGCAATCCCAATTTTACCAAGCACCACAGATTCAGAAGGCATGTAAGTTAGGGTCCCACGTAATCTGTACTTCTTAGTCTCTAACAGCGCTTCGCTAGGCTCCTTAGCCAATTTGAAATCAGCGATCTCGAGCTGATATCCAGTTTTGGTAGGAAACACAAGAATGTTCTCGAGCTTTATGTCGCAGTGCACAATTCCTTTTGCATGGATACAACTAAGACCTTTCAGTATCATCCGAGTAAATACTTGTACGTCACTTTCTAGCATACGACCCCTGGCTATCTCTATCAAGTCTATTAGGTCTCCTGCCGGAGCATATTTGAGAAATAGGTTGCACCATTGACGCCCCTCATCGATTGTTATCTCGTGACTGTAACACTTGACAATTTCTAGACAACTGCTAAAATGTGAAAGGATTTTGTTTTCTTTAATAACAGAATTTGAATTCTCTAGCTCTATTGTTTTCACAACAATTGGTGTATTGAAGTTTTCTTGTAAAACTAAGAAAACAAATCCATAAGTACCTTCCCCAAGAGGTTTAACTCTATACCACCATGTTGACCAATCTACCATGTTGTTTATGGATACGTACTGTTGACAGTTGAATTTCATCAACAAGACCTTACCGGATTACCCCGCGGTAGCTCTTCGGGTTACCGGTTTGAAACTTGTAATTTTACTGGATTTGCTAAGGTTTGTATTGATGTACTATGAAGGAACCGTTATATATTGGTTATGAAAATAAAGACGAAGAGGTTTTATAGTGGTTCACCCTTCTCAAACAGAGCTACATCCACTGTATTATATTTCTCTTGTTTTGGTTCTTACAAATTACACGAAGAAGGATCCCCCTCTCTCACGGGGGCTCTGCCCCTTTTATAGTGGATATTATATGAGCATTTTCCAATGGTAGGCGGTTTGGACCATTTGACCGTGTCTTCCATGGGGTCCACCCACTCAAGTGGCCTATGGCCTCATTTGTCTAGACCGTAGCCTGTCAACACCTTTTGGAGTGTTCACTCATCCAATTTGTCCCCCCATTACAGCTCTGTAGATCCCCTGTAATAGCTAGTGATCCGTTCCAGGCGGGTTTAGGGGCTCGTAATCATTTCCTGTGCAATTAACCTTCTCCAAACCCAGACGTAACCTTGGGATATTCCGTCGATCACCTCAAGAGTCTTCCTTGGGAAGCGGGTCTAGTTGTTTACGTTCAGCCCTCTGTGCCTATTCCAAAAACTTGCCATGGGTAGCCTCTCTCACGGTCGACTCTATCAAGTTATTTTGCACGAGTTGGTCTCGCAGGCCTCGACTGTGAATAGGGTCGACGGTAGTTGGGGCACTTTTGGTGAGGGCCTATCGGCGTGGAAGGTTGGGGACTCGTGGCCCCTTTTTTGTTCGTGATGATTGTGCTTTCACTGACTGACGTGGTTGGAGAGCTGCTGAGGGCACTTCCAGGCATCGACGGTGGCCGAGGGGATGAGATTGGCCCCGGCTGAGGTAAGCAAAACCCGGATGATCCCGAGGATGACGGTATCCGAGGGCGACACCCATTGCAGCTTCAGCTCTGTGACAGTGAAGAGTTTCTGATGGGGATCTCCCAATGAGCATATAGTGTGGGAGAGGAATGTAACCAGTTTATGGAGGAAGTTCCTAAGTGGGCGATGGGGTTATATCTCCCTGTTTGTGAACACAATAACTCCAACGGATGTAGTCTATAGAGGGATAAAAACTCCGTCTTGGGGGGTGTTAGGCCATGGCTAAGGGATTTTGATGCTCTGGGAGCTTTTGTTACCGCTTCTGATGGGGAGAACGCCTAGAAACCCATTCTAGAGGGACTCCACCGGAAGTTATGGAGAATAGAACTCTCCGTCAGTTGCTCTGATAGAAACCAAAAATCCAGGGAAATTAGCCAGAACAGGGGATCTTTGACCTGCGTTTTCTCCCTTTTCCCAGTGTCGTCCCCTGAGAGGTTTTGACATCAGTATTTATAGGCCAGGAACGTTGTAAGGGGAGGGAAGTTTTCCCTCCAACCGTTTTGAACTTTGACTGAAATCCCCCCAAAGGTCCCCGTTGGTAAGGCATTTCTAGTGTGATTTAAGGCTAGCTTTCGTTGATCCCAGAAGGAGGTTTACCAAAAAGATGAATAAATAGGTTATTGGGCAGCCAAATGGGGCTCCGTAGCCACTTTGGGTGAGATCAGAGGGTGGCAGCCATACGGTCAAAAGGTTGCCCTCCCTCGTTTGTGTATACTCTGGCTCCTTAGAGTTTTTTGGCAAAGAGACTGCGTTTGACTCTTGAGGAAGCAAGGGCAGTGAGCGGAAAAAGAGGAAAGACATAGGGAAAATGCTATTTTGTCTCTTAGTGCAAGGTAATGCACAAATAGGCTTTTTCTAGACTATTTATAAAAGATTTAGAACTGTAAAGGTAGCGACTGTAAGCTTAGGTAATTCATTTTTGTTGGGAATGGTGTCCTAGAAGCATAAGATGTAATAGGAAATTTATTATTTATTTAATAAAAGAGTTTATTCATCATTTTATGTGCATATATTTATGAATATTTTATGAATATCAAATGAAAATTTTGTGATTATTTATGTAACCTTAAACATAATATATAAGTGTTATATATGAGAGGATAATGTTTAAGGATAATAATCAAAAAGCAATGTTTATAATGAATTTAATTAAAGTTCAGAATCTTTAATTAAAACATTATTAATACATCTCATTCCCATTTAGAATGGAACGGTGTTATCCGCACTGTTAATATGGTGAGATATTGAATGAGTGTATTTCACATAATGAGATTATGTGGAACAAGGACACAGACACAATATGAATTTCTAATAATTTTCGTTAAGCATAGAAATTCTAATTGAGTCTACCGATGGTCATATATAGAATGATCTTAATCCTGAGTTCTTAACAAACTCCTATTTATGGATTTATGTATTTTGATTTACTCGGTACGGATTCTGAGACCCAGAATCCTATTCCTTGTATTTTGGAGACATGATGAAATAGGTAGCCGGGAATATTATTATACGAGATGAAATCCATTCCTTCTTGAGAAAGAAGTAGATAAATAATTCTCTTGAGTGTTGATTCGGTACTTGGATTAGTAAGAGCGCTCTGGTTCATGAATGTATTTTATGAATCACTATCCATTATAGAATCAATCGTACTCAAGGATGCAGATATAATTAGAGAGGTTAATGGATTCTACCTAACTCTAATTATGAATTATTTATGGAGGATTGAAATATATGCAATGGCTATATCAAATTGACACTTCATAGTTTAGAAGTAATTAATGTCTATAATTT